GCCATTGCACTCCAGCCTGGGCAACAAGAGCGAAACTCCGTCTCAAAAAAAAAAAAAAAAAAAATGTGAGACCATTGGCATGCCTCTGAAATGTGACTTCCTCTTCCTTTTCTTAAAATAATACTTTCCTCTCTAAAGGTTTGGGAGGTTTAAGTAATAATAATTTTTAAAAAGCCTGAATGTAATAAGTGTTCCGATGGAGGGCACATGACAGTGACAGCTGGGGAAACGACGTTTTCTTTATTAAGAGATCCCTTGTGGTTTCTTCAGACTGCTAGGGATTTTTAACACGTGCTGTAATCAAAACTGCGTTACTATTAATGGTATAATGCGATAGTGGGCAGGAGAGGGAGTGGTCAAGGGTTCTATTTTAAGGCTTAAGTGTGGATTTTTGCCCCAGTCAGAGGTTTAAGAGAATGTCCCTTTAGTCACTCCTTTGTGTATCTATGTCCTCTGCGGCTTCACTTCAGACTCTTCCATCGTTTGGCAAATAAGGGGTGGACAGAGTTTCTAAAGAATCCTTTAACCTAGAAGGGTTAGGAACCCTCGCTCCCCAGTCTGAGAAAAATGCATCTTTCCTTCATAGCATTTCCCCCAAAGGAACCTGCCCGGTTTGTGTCCTTAGATTCTGCAGTGATTACCCCTTTTTCGGTCAATTTTGTACATATGGTTCAGATAAAATCTCGAACTTTTTCTGCAAATACCACTGGCATGCCGGAGCACAAGCTTTAGAGAGCAGCCTCAGGTCTTGTTACAGACTTTGATTAACACAGGCTTCCTATTAAAAAAGAGAAAATGTATTTTAAATTTTTTAATAGAACTTTAAAAAAAAAAGTAGAAGAAAATTTTAAAAACTCATACTCTAATGCAGTTACTTGTTCTTCTAGGTTAAACTTGTTTGTTTTGGGGGGATTATGCTGTCTGTACAATTTGTTACCTTGTTTACTTAACATTTAGCAATTGTTTTATTTCATGTTACTGAAGCAAATTATGCTCAACAGAAAGCATGAAAAATTCCAAGAAAATCACCCAAAATGTGAATACTAATAACCGCTATTAAGCTAATTGCACATCTGTATTTGTCTTAAAATAGTACTAGACGTAGTTTTATAACCTACATTTTGCATTTATCTACGTATAGTGTACTGTTTTATGTCAATAAGAATCTTCAAGACTTTTAGAGTCTGCACAGTATTCCATCCAGCAGATGAGTATGTCGTAATTAACCATTAACAATTCTCTTAAACTGGGCGTGGCGGCAGGCACCTGTAATCCCAGCTACTTGGGAGGCTGAGGCAGGAAAATGGCTTGAACCCAGGGGGCAGAGGTTGTAGTGAGCCAAGATCGCGCTACTGTACTCCAGCGTGTGCGATAGAGTGAGACTCTGTCTCAAAAAAGAAAAAAAAGAAAAGAAAAAAGAAGAATCAACTATATGCAAATCAATAAGTGTGATATGCCACATTTATGCAATGAAGCTTCTGCATAGCAAATGAAATAAGTGAAGAGACAACCTCTAGAATGGATAAAAATATTTTCGAATCATACATCTAATAAAGGGTTAATATCCAAAACATATCAGGAACTCAGTAGCAAGAGTAACTTAAGTAAAACATGGAGAAAGAACCTAAACTGACACATCTTAAAAGAAGACATAAAAATGGCCAACAAGTATATGAAAATGTTCTCAAGATTAATAATCTTCAGGGAAATGCACATCAAATGAGATATTACCTTAATATAAGATATCACATTTCCATCTGTTAGATTGGCTATTATCAAAAAAACAAAATATGACAAGTGTTGGTTAGGATGTGGAGAAAAGGGAGCTCTTGCACACTGTTGGTGGAAATGTAAATTGGTACAGACATTAGGGAAAGCAGTACAGAGGTTCCTCAAAAAGTTAAAAATAGAACTACTAAATGATTCAGCAATCCCACTCTGGGTGTATACCCAAAGAATATGAAATTAGTATGATTAAGAGATATCTGCACTGTGTTCATTGCAGCATTATTGTCAATAGCCAAGCTATGGAATCAACCTAAGTGTCCATCAACGAATGAAGAGATTTAAAAATGTGAAATGTATACACAATAGAAACTCCTTTAAAAAAGAAGGAAATCTTGTAATTCATAACAATGTGAATAAACATGGGGAACATTATTTTAAGAGAAATAAGCCAGGTATAGAAAGAAAAATATCACATGATCTCACTTATGTGCAGAACCTGTAAGTTGAATTCACAGAAACAGAGTAAAATGTTGGTTACCAAATGCTGAGGTAAGGGGATTTGGGAGATGCTGGTCAAAGGACACAAAACTCAGTTAGACAGGAGGAAAAAGTTCCAGAGATTTATTGTACATCACGGCAATAATTAGAATATATTGTATACTTGACAATTGCTGAGAAAGCAGATATTTTAACTGTTCTTAACACAAAAAAGGTAAGTATGTGAAGGCATATGTTAGTTGGCTTGATTTAGCAGCTCCATAAAGTATACATATTTCAAAACATCATGTTGTACCACATTAATACATACAATTTTTGTTAATAAAAACAATAAATGTTTCATTTCTAAAAGGAAACAATAAAATAATATTTTTTAAAAGGCTTTTTACAATTTATCCATATAACAGCCAAAATGTTTTAAGCACAATTTACTAAGCTATGGTCTAAGTATCTGATATTTATGATCTTATTTAATTTACCCAACAATATCATGAGAGCAGGCCTGTAAATATCACCACTTTTAACAACAGCAGACTGAGGTACAAAGAGTTTAATTTAGTGTCCAAAGATGCATAGATGACCAAGGGAAGAGAGGGATTCAAATGCAGGCACTCTGGTCCCCTTCCTCATCACTACTTTAAAATATCCCCTCACAACAAAGAAGAAGATTCATCAAATTTCAAATGAAAAAACCCAGGACCTTCATCATCATGGATATTTAAATTCAGTAAAATACAAATATGTACAACAAAAAATAAAAATTTATGTGATTTTTTATTCATTCTAAATTTCTTAATTTTCTCAGTTTTTATAATAATTTGGATTAATTTTATAGATTAGCTTTATCTTTTTTATGGTTTAGCTTTATAGATTAAATAATGTAATGTTATTTCTGTAGAAAAAATTATTATGTGTTGACAAAACACTATTCTCAAGAATAATAACACCTATATAAGCCAAGTTATTTTGGAAATTCTGCACTCAACAAATTTAAGTTCCCTGATTTTGCTATAAATCTTCCCATACCAATGAATAAAATGGAAAAAAAAAAGCATATTTGGCTAGCTAAAAAGTAAATTATATATTTTATACTTTTTGTTCCTATGGACACACAGATATACATGTACTCACCTCAAGAGTATAAGCTTTTTCAATTATTTTAATGTTTAAAAGTACATTCTTATATCCACAAGTCCACATTTTAAAAAATTTAGACAATATGCCCAACAAATTTCTCTTATTGTTATTGTACTCATTTTAAAAGTGGTACTTTCAATTCTATTTTATTCATTCTTTATTTTAGGCAATGTAAAAATGCCCATTTTCAAAAAGACTCTGTCAAAATTTCCAAGTAGAAATATCATTCTTTATCCCTTTCTACTTTTTCTATTTATTTATTTAGACAGAGTCTCTGTCACTCAGGCCAGAGTGCAGTGGTGTGATCTTGGCTCACTGCGAACTCCACCACCCAGGGTCAAGCAATTCTCCTGCCTCAGCCTCCAGAGTAACTGGGATTAAGGTGCCTGCTACTATGCACAACTAATATTTGTATTTTTAGTAGAGACCGGGTTTCACCATGTTGGCCAGGCTGGTCTCAAACTCCTGACCTCAAATGATCTGTCTGACTTGGCCTCCCAAAGTGCTGGGATTACAGGCATGAGCTGCTGTGCCCAGCCCCACTCTTTCAATGTAATTACTTATCATTACTCAGGTACCAATGTGAACGTCTCTTCAGGTGTAGAGTACAAATGCAGTCACATATCTCTTATTCATTTCCACTAAGTACTCAAACAATTATCTACTTAATAAACAGGAAGCCTAATATATTTTCTGAAAATTCTTCCCTCTATTAATAAATAATCTGCTTTAAAGGGAGCAGTCCTCCTCTGGTGCTGAGAATCTACTGGAATTTGGTCAGTCCAAAACTACTGCTGCTTCTCACTGCTACATGATGTTAAAATGGAAAGCTAATCCCCTACCATTTCTACTTGGTAATGTGTCAGGATGACGCCCTACCAGACAATGAGTCTACAACACCCATTCAAGGCTTTCTCCCCCATCTAGTTCTTATAACATGGGTTTCCAAAGTCAGGATGATGTGTGCCAAATGAGTTTAACTCAAGATCATTGTACACACCAGCTACAGAGTAGAAAATAAAAGTAAAATTAAAAAAAATGTTTGTATCATCTCAGACAGAGTATAGTAATAAAGAATGAGTAAGTAGAGAATTTTATTTGGAGGAGGAATGGTGAGAGGCAAGCCATGAGCCGGCCCTAGAGCGTGGAATGTGCCAGCAGCACGTATTTTCCCAGGACCCTCCTCAAGGCCCCCATGACTTCCTTATTTCTCAGGCTGTAGATGAGGGGATTCAAGGCTGGAGTGACAATTGTGTAGAAAACAGATATGATGTTGTCTTGCTTGGGACTGTGGAAGGAACTGGGCAAGACATACATGAATGTGGCAGCTCCATAGAACATCCCAACCACAGTCAGGTGGGAAGAGCAGGTGACAAGGGCTTTCTTCCTCCCCTCATTTGATGGCATATGGAGCACAGTGAATAAGATTAGTGTGTAGGAGGCAACAATGGCAGAAATGGGGAGCAAGAGAAAAGTCACACCTGTCACATATATTATAAGTTCATACCTGGAGGTATCAGCACAGGCCAACTTCAGCAAGGGTGGGATCTCACAGAGCAGATGCCTGATTTCCCAGGATATGCAGAAAGGAAAGTGCATGGTGTATGTGGTATGGCCTAGAGCAGTCAGAGATGCCAGGATCCAGGATGTGGCCACCACGAGCCAGCAGACTCTTGGGCTCATGAGGGTCATGTATTTCAGAGGATGACAAATGGCCACATACCTGTCATAGGCCATGAAGGCCAGTAGGAGGTCCTCAGCGCAACCCATTGTTAGTGCCAGGAACATCTGAAGGGCACAGCCTCCAAAGGTGATGGTGTTTTCTCTGCGCAGAAAGTCTGCAAGGGCCTTGGGAGTGACAACAGATGTGAACAGGAGGTCCATGAGAGAGAGCTGCCCAAGCAGGAGGTACATGGGCACGTGGAGCCGGGCTTCCATGGTGATGGCCAGGAGCAGCAGGCCATTGCTGGTCAGGGCCAACAAGTAAAGGACAGTAATTGTAGCACAGACCACTTCAGGAGACCCACTGTCATTTAGAATTCCCACCAAGATGAAGGCACTTCCCAAGGTGGAGTTCCGGAGCTCCATGATGTTTTTTTTTTTTGGGGGCCTAGAACAAAATATATTATCAGTGGAAGCTTTTCTAAAAGTGTTCACTCTAGCTTTGGATTGTTCTAAGTCACTGTGCATTGGCCAATAGGAATCCCATAATATGGTATCTTTTTCATCTCTTAATGTAACTCTGATTTCTGAATGCCTTTATTGAATTATGATAAACCATCAACTAAATTAGTATCAGGTATTTTGGTATGTTGTTAACAGTTAATCATTTAGAAATCCCTTCAAATAAGGTTCCAGAAGAACAAGCCAAAGCAAACATCTCAGCAGATAGATGAGAGCGTCTCTCTTTTTACAATGAACGAATACGCTGGGCATTGGTTTAAGATACAGCTATTTTTCTGCTTAACATGTACTTGGAATTCCAATTCAGTTTTTGTTTTATTTATAAAAAAAAAATTTACTCTCTTCTCCCTTAAACCAGTCTCATTGTTGTTGATTACCTTCCTCAATAGGAGACTCCCTGGGCTCTTGGGCTGCTTGTTCACCTGGAGTCTTCAACTGCTACTCTGCTGGACGGAAAGAGAATTCTCGGCTGAATTTAACAGTCATGTGGTATAGATTTTAGAGGTAAATCTAGAGGAACAGTACAAAAGGAGTTTACCTATTTGAAAATAACAATAAGATGTTTACTCAGAAACAGGCAGGAATAAAGGCAATGCGATTTGTGGTGGCATGGCAGGTGCTTGTGTTTAGGGCACATGATACAAGGGGTGAGCTACTAAGGAGGAGGCATTGCAGAAAAGGCCCAAAGCAATAGCATTACCTGTGAGCCACAGCAACACACTCAAGGCGGGAAGATTTCTCCCCACAAATCTTAGGAATACAAGGAAGAATGGTGGTCCTGCCGAACCCTGAATCCATACGATAGCACTGCTGGTCGGGATTGAGAAGGAGAGGTGGAGTGTGAGGTTTGTGTGGGACAGCATTCACTTGGCTTGCTCTTTATGAATGCAGTTTTTTTTCACAGTTGGATGGAAGACTTAGGAGGCCTTTTGGAAGAGAAAAATAATTCTTCATCAAATTAGTTATCTTTCCCTTGCATAATCTGCACCTACTTCTTCAAATATCCATTTGTGTCACTATCCCGGTCAATTCAGAGTTAGAACCTTTAAGTGGTAAGGTCATTAAAACCTGACATTGGAAGACCCATCTGTTCCAGCTCCTTTTATCCATTCAATAAATATTTACTAAGGACCTATGAAGGCGCTACACTTGGGCAACTGCGTAGATGTGAAAAATTGATCACACAAACACCTACATACAGCCAATGGTGATGATTGATAAATGAAAGAAAATATACTAAGAGAACATGTAAGTGAGGTTTCAGGAAAGGATTCACCAAGGAAGTGTCATACAAACTACAGGCTGAGGATAAACAGGAGCTGGCTAAATAAAAAAGGGTCAGGATATAATTTTTAAAAAGTGAGGGATAGCATCAGAACATTCACATATTAAAAATATAGTACAGGAATGTCCTCCCTGCACTTTTGCCCAGTGAAGTCTGGGTAGAAACCAGAGCCAGAAAAATGCCCTCTACCACTCAGAGTCTAAGATCTTTCTCCTGTCTTACAAAACAAAAACTATAATTTTAACCTAGGAACCACTGACTGGAAAAACTTATTTGTCTGTTGACAACAAAAAAACAAGTCCAAAAATAATTCTAAGCACTATTTCTGCTAAATATTAGATTTGAAATGCTTTCGTTTTTCTTGAATAAAAAGATGGATGGACAGGGAAATAAAATGAGTAAAACTATTAGCTGGGCACATTCCTCTAGATCCCTGCACCAGATGTTTGGACAGAATTTCAAAGAGAACAAAAATCAGGGCTTGAGTAAGATGGCGTAACCAGGACTCAGGATCCTACATACCTGTCTCCTCCCTCTGATCCTGGACTATCGTTTTCCCTTCCTTTTCCATTCACTGGGTCCTCCCCTCTGGGGTCATCTAAAGGGAAAGGCCAGAGAACACATGCAGAGCCTACAGAGGAAGAGCTTCTTTCTAAAAATCTGCTGTTGGTTGCAGGTATTTCAAACCAAGAGAAGTCAGCAGAGGCTGAGATTAAGAGAGGCATTGTTATATTTCATGGAAAATGGTCAGTCAATAATAAGGTAGAGCTAAATTTTTGAAAGCGTATTTGTATAAGATTTTTTTTCTCTGCTCAGCAGATCCATTTTTTGAATTTACATCAATTGGCTTTTTTTTCTGTGGCACTGGACTTAGCGCCAAGCAGGCCTGCAAGGGAAAGTCACTTCAGCATATTTTAGATAGTCCTCCTTTGAGCTACTATTCATTTGGGGACTCACAACAAACTATTGTAGGCCAGGAAAGTCCAGATGTAACAAAGGTAAGTACTGAGACTTTTACCAGGAGATCAGCATCAGGAATTCTAGGAACTCACAGCTGGCTAGTGGCACAGAATTATTTTGGGTGTCCCCACATGTGCAAGATAGTACATGTACAAGGTGCATAAGGTATAGATGGGAGTGAGTGAACAATGAAGCCTGAGGAACTAGAGAATCTGAGAAGGAGAGCAGTGTAGGGTCTTGACTCTGTATCTCAGGACTTCCAGACTTCACATATTGCCTTGAAACAGAAACACAGCCCTTACCTCATATAGGAAGGAGCACAGCTTCCAGACCATACCAACTCTATTGAGAATCATTTGAGGGATAAAGAGGTTCAAGAAGACAAAGAAAGAAAAGTTGGTTCTTCTGGCAGGGATGAATGTAGGTGTGTGTATGGCTGTCTCTGGGATGAGAAGTCAAAGGCTCCTCCAGTCACTGGCACCTCAAATCCTCTCTAGAGTAGAGATAGATGCAGACAGGCAGCTGAGAACCAGGGCAGGATCCTGCAGAAGCAAGGAGCTGAATCTCCTCCAAAGTTTTTTCATCCACTGTCCTTATGAAAAAGTCCTTACTGCTTTGGAATGGTTCTAGCTGAGTTCTTGAGTCCAGGTCCTCAGATTTCACATATTCCCCTCGTGCTAGGATTAATGATAAAAGAGGAGCACAACAGGAATGTGGAAAAGGGAGGTATAAGAGGAGCTGCTTAAAAGAGACCCACCAATGCCCAGCCTCACTATCCCTGGGCCAACAGTGAGCCTTGTCCTGGGGGAGGCTTCATAGTCTCACCCTCTCAGCTGACATGACCTCCCTGAAAATGTTGCTCCAGGAAATGGCATTTTAATGAGTCCCCTTGGGCATGTCTCCTGGCCTGCCGTTTCTTCAAACTTTACCACCAAATGAGCTCTGCACCTTGAGGCCTTGTTCTGCCCCTCATGAACTTGCTATGTTTCACCACTCACTGGAGTCTAAATCTTTCTCCTGCCTCACAAAACCAGAACTATTTTTAACCTAGAAATCACTGAGTGGAAAACCAGTCAGAGGCTGTTTCTGACCAAATGGCTGTTTCTCACCTCCCTGTCCAGCCCTCTATCCATATTATAAAGTATGTCTCATGGGTTCTACAGATGCTGCCACTCCCATATTCCTCTTTGTGCCACTAGCCTGGACTACTACCAGCTAGAGGCAGTTAACTATGCTTCTGTTAATATCAGGTCTTCCTTCATTGAGCTTTAATGAGCGTCCAACACTAATTTATTTTCAGTCCTTTGTTTCTCCTTTCTACTCCCTCTTGTGTGTGTGCACACAGGTGCATGGGATTGCGTATTCTGTGATCAGTCAGCTCAGCTGCTCAGAGCTCTGGGATGATGACACAGAACCTGCCTGCACTCACCACTGCTTTTAGTTCAGGCTTTCCCATCCCTCACCAGATTCTTTGCTTGATCTTCCGCATAAAGTGATTATCTCTTTAATCACTCATTTCACCAGGAAATGCTGAAAATTGCTCTTGGAGTTATCACATCTTTTCTCTTTGAACTTAAAAATTGAAAATAAGTTTCTACTTTCTGTTTATATAAAAGTATACTCAAGAAAATTATTTCAGAAGTGCAACAGAAGAAATAATACAAAAATCTATTTTTTCATTATAAAAAGAATGTACTGAAAAGGAAGTTTTAAACATGTAAAGTATAAGAGCAGCATTATTCAAAATACAATAAAAACTGGAAACAACCATTACGTCCATCAATAGTGAAACAGATAAATATTCACCAAAGGGTTACTCAGTAGCAATCAAAGCAAAAGAACCAGGGCATACAACAGAAGAAGTAACTCAGGAAACTAATATTAAGGGAAAAAAGAGAGACCTTAGTATTTTATATCACGGTACTTCAGTACTTCTTTTACGGAATTAGGAACTTAAGTGAAAGTAAACTTTTTATGAATACGTGTACATTCAATAAAACTACATAAAAATGAAGAGAATGATGGACATAAAATTTGGGTTAATAGTTATAGTGAAAGGAAGCAGAGAGCTGGACTGCTAGTGACTGTTGTCAAGTCCAAGTCTACTACTTGCCACACAACACCCAATAAGTTGAGAGACAAATTGTTGGGGCAAGGAAGACAACTTTATTTCAGGCAGCCAGCAAACTGAGAAGATGGTGGACTAATATCTTAAAGAACTACCTAAAGTTGATTAATTTTTAGGCTTTTCTTATGTTAGAGGGAGGGGGAACAGGGACGGGGCTAAGGCCAGGAGGTAACTGGTGACCACAGATGTCTGGGCATCAGCAAGGGTCTGAGAAGGTTGAAAAACTTCTTCATTCATGGTCAACTACTTGTCAAGTCCACCTTGTTTCTATAAATCTTTAATCATTGTTACTTATATGCATACTTCTTTATTTCCTTGGGGGTCTGTCTCAAAAGAGAGGGAGTCATTAGTTCTAAAGTTAAACTATAATATAAATTCTGTTTGTGATTAGCTTGGTCCACACGTAGGAATGAGCAAAGGCAGTTAGCTTGTGAGCTCAGAAGTAAGATGTAGTCAGCCACATTAGACTTCTCTCACTGTTAGATGACCTTATGGGAAGATGAGGGTATTATCAAGGTCCTAGCTTGCATTCTGGGAGCTGACTTTATGGTAATAATCAATTAGTCTCTACATATCTGACATTCAACCTTTCTTTCTATTTCACAGGTAAAAATAAAGATCACAGA